GACAGCTCCCAGGGCAGGCATGTGGCTGCAAGTCGTGGCTTCAGAAAGTGCCTCTGCACCCCGAGCCAGCAGCCAGGCTCCTAACAGCTGAACACAGACCTTCTCTGAGCCCTGGTGGTTTTTAATAAGAATTTTAGACTAAAATATTTGTAGGGAGTTCCTGTCTCAAGCAGTCTCGTGGTCAGCAGCTGTGGAGCTGCCACTGCTGTGCTAGGCAGAGTGAGGTGTCAGGAGCCTGGTTATCTTTGAATGAGCAGTGAGGCTGCACACCTGGCTCTTAGCTGTCCCTTCAGCCCCAGCTCCTCCTGTTCCAGCCAGCCCCACTCCTTGGGGACTCTGGGGAGTCTTTCCCCATGGTTTGAATTCTCTGTGCTAGAATGCAGTAGCTGGTGCACTCTGCAGAGCAGGGGGCTGCATTGCTGAAGCAGGTGATGGCAGTCACCCTAACTTGTTACAGCACTTTGGGACCCTTCAGTTCGAGGCAAACTCTTCTTCCAAGGCAGGACTGCAGGGTGGGACATCTGTGTGGGGACACTGCTGGACACTGAGCCTGTCTGCTGCAGAAAAGGTGTTTGAACAGATGGTGCTTAGGGACTCCTTCATCTGCTGCCATTCCTGGAACCTGTGCTCTGAGGTGTCAGAGCAGGAGTGTTGTTCTGGTTATGCATGGCTGGGGGAGGGCTGATTAACCCTTCAGTTCCAGGTGGTTGGTCCATTTCTTACCTCCAGTTCAGGCAGCCTGTAGATGCTTACCAGGTGATGCTGAACAGATTGTCCTGAGTGTGCATGTGGCCAGTCAGAGCAAATACTGACTCAGGTTTGGTGTCTTTAGTCTCCTGCAAACACTGCTGAGAGCAGTGAGAGTTACTCTGTCACGCTTGGTTACTGGTGATCAAGTCATCCAGCCTTAACCTCAGGGGATGGCTGAAATTTGGGCAAAAGGTTTCAGGTGTCCATCTGGCTCCAGTGAAATCAGGCTGTTGCTGCAGTCCTACAAACAAGAGTTCACAGGTTTGTTTTCTGTTCTGTTGCTGCTTGACTTACTTGGAACAGCTACAGAGTATGAGAGCCAAGGCCTCTTGTTCCAGACTTTAGCTGTTTTGTCTCCCTGTTGTGTGTGTCCCAGCCCCCCAGTTGTGTGTTTCTTGTAAAATAGCAGAAAATATTCACAGAGGTACAGGGAGGTTTAGTGCCTGTATTGTAGCTGGGGTTCCTTGTGTTCAGATACTCCTTTGTAATTTAAAATAAAAGGGTGTTTGCACTGGGCTTTATTGTTCAACTTCTGAATGATTGAACTCTTGATGGAGTCTCTGCAGTCTGGGCAGGAAAGCCAAGTGCTGCTCTGAAGGGCCTGATCAGTATCAAAACTGTAACTGGAGGTGTCACAGAGGGAATTGCACAGTGCAGGTCAGGGTTGCTGGTAGGATTCAGAGCAGAGAAGGCAGGCAGGCAGTTTGTGCTGCCTGGGATTGCTCAGAGCAGGAGGCAGATCAGGCTTCAGCTCAGCCAGAACACAGCTGTGACCCCAGTTCATTCCCATGCCAGTGCAGGCTCAGCCTGTGCCCGGAGCCACGGGAGGGGACAGGGTGCTCAGACTGTGCCCTGCAGGGCAGCAGTGACAGCTGGAGTGGCCCTCGGGCTCAGGGGGCAGTGCAGGCACAGCTGCCTCTGCTCCTGGCTGCCCTCTGCTCCTGGGAGCCACAGCTCGAGCTGCTCTCAGCGCGCTCGTACTCGTACAGCTCTGCAATAGTAGTGGTGTAAGAAGAGGTTTGTGAATACTTCAAACTGTTGTCCCTGATCCTCTTTTTTGGGGAAGGATTAGGAAGATCAAGGGAAGCCTAGGCATGATGTTAAACGGCTGCTGAGGAGCCAAGCACCCAGATGTGGTGGCATCAGGGCAGGAAGGACACTGCCTGTCTAGGAAAATCTGGCCACTGCGGTCAGTCCTTCCCCTTTCTTATGGGAAATACGTACGAAGTCACTGCAATTCCAGTGCCCTCTCTTCAGTAAACTTACTTTCTCCCTCTCTTAAGGCAAAGCAAAGAGCAGAGGTCCTTCAGTCCACCCAGAGATTCTTTTCTGAGCAGCAGCAGCAGCAGCAGAACAAACCCATAGGAGGCAAAGCTCCCAAAGTGGAGGAGAATGGGAGCAAACCCAGCGAGGCAATTGCTGACTCTCCAGGAGTCTGCCAGGACAAAGCCGAGGAGAAGGCCCCCCCTGCGCCTGCTGCCACTCCGAAACCTGTTAGAACTGGACCAATCAAACCTCAGGCAATCAAAACCGAGGAAACAAAATCTTAGAGGCTGTGTTCCTGTGGAGGGGGGAGAGGGGAGGGTGGGTGAGGTGTCAGCACATCAATTGGTGGCCCGAAGATGAAGAGCAGCCTGCTCTCCCTGCCGGGCTCTGAGCAGCCCCACAGGGCGTAGAAGCCAGCTGCAGTGGTGCTGCCAGCTGCAGTGGTGCTGCCAGCTGCAGTGCCCAGCTGAGCCCGGGCTCTCGGGGCTCACGTCTGCTCTAACAGCATGAAGGCTGCTCTGGGGTGTGCACGTCCCACACGCGTGTGCCCCGCTTGGCTCGCACCCGCCTGCTTCCCAAAGCCACAGCACGGAGAGGCAGCGGCGGTGGGGAGGCATTTCCTAGCTGACACCATGACTTCTTATTTCCTTCAGGCTCTGATCTTCAGCTGCTATTTATCTTTTTATAAACCCGAGAGTATGAGAACATGCAGATCTGAAGATGGTGCTGGGCCAAGTAATGTGTGTTAAGTTTTTAGTGACTTAAGAAGCTTCTATCTTGTATAAATAGAGGGATCCACGTATCTGCCACGCGAGGCTTAACCTAACACACAGTAACACTGGCAGTGTGGATTTCCCTCTGAAGGCAGTGCTTTGCTGGCTGCTGCTGCTTGGATGACAATTTACTGCATTTAGATCACCATATGAAAAAGCTACTTGGCCACCTGTGTCCTCTCCACCCGCTGCCCCCCCAGTGGCTCTCCCCTGGAGTTGAAGGTTCGTTGCATCAATAGTCAGATTTGTTCCGTTCACCCCTGTCCAGCTGTCTTGATATGATGCGAGTGGTCCCTAAACGGTTTCCAGTTTCTGTCTGTAACACAGCAACGAGCACTTAAACTGTGCCACGAGAATAAAAGAAACCTTATCAGATGAACGAGAGTTTTATCTCAAAGGTGCATTCTTTATATCAGAGCTGCGTCGCACCACCTCCTTGCCCACAGTGTGCTGGAAAGTAGAATCAAGTCAAATAAATGCCTTTTTAATTGTATCCTCTAGTATTCTAGCTGTAGGACAGTACTGTATGATACTTCTGTGAATGTAAGATATCCTGTACCTGCTTATGATATGTAGTAGTGACTGTGCTATACTGGAGCTGTTTTTAATAATGTTATTCTAGAGGTTTTTTTCCAGACAATGATTGAAAAAGCTAATAAAAAGCACCAGGTACCACATCAGTAGCAGAATTTGCTGGTTTTTTCTGGGATTTTTTTTCTTTTTTTTACGTTTTTTGGAAGGAAGAGTTGAAAGTCTAATGTGTATAATTTTGTTCAAATGACTGCAGAAGCTGGAAAGGCTGTTGCTGCTATTGATGCCTAGTGAATTGCTATTGGTTATCTTTTTATATAAATATATATATAATTTGAATTTTTGGAAACTAGCTGTGATGTCAACTTTGGAAAAAAGTATCCCACTTGTAGTGTGAGTTGGCATTGTACAGAAATTAACAGCCATATTGGTCTAGAAATGTTAAACTTAATTTTTTTTCCATTTGTACAGGGGTAACGCACTGTATGAAATATGTACGGTCTTATTTACATGGGTTTGATTACAGAAACTAATAAAGTATTCTCTAAATAAAGCCTCCGGCTGCTCTCGTGATTGCTGTGGGAGGAGAGCGGCGCTCCCACGGAAAGGCTCCTGAAGGAAAATGCTCCCAGAAGCTCCTTGGTGTGTCCTGGCACTTTCCCAGCCCTTCTCCAGCCAAGGGCTCGCAGGATGTGGTCACCACTTGCCCCAGGAGCCTGGGGGTATTATTTGCTGGGAATTCCATTTCAGCTGGTGGAGCTGGGGGCTGTTCCAGATGGGAGCTGGGATGATGCTGCTTGTCCCATTGGCCAGTGAGTGACAGTGGTGCCTCAAGTTTGAGCTTTCATATTTTCCAGATTCTGTACTGCATTAGTTTATAACTCTGAATTTCATATAAAGTTCTCTCCACAGCTCAGTCACACAAACCAATCCTTTTCCAGCCCCAGAACCAAGGACACCGCTGCAGCCTCAGGCCCAAAAAGTGCAACCAACAGTGCCCAGCCTCTGCTCCAGGGAGCCTCTCAAGGCATCAGCAGGAGTTCAGGGAGCTCTAGGCTGAGCCTTCCCTGCCTCCTGCCCTGGGCTGTGGCTGGGGACAGGCGGGACATGCTCAGCTGGCCACCAGAGGGACCTTGCTTCCCACAAACACCAGGAACTTGATCTCTGGGAAGTGATTCCTGCTGGGGAGAAGGTGCTGGCTGGCTCTGCACCTCTGAGGAAAGGGAGGGTGCAGCCAGGAGTGTTGGGCTGGCTCTGCAAGCACACCTGGAGCTGGGCAGGTTGACCTTTGGTCAGAGGTGTTGCTGCCAGCCCTGGGGTGGGTTGGGAAGCAGCAGCTTCGGGCCACCAGAGGAGCTGGAGTCCTTTCCTGCCCAGGATGGATTTGTTCAGGGTGAAACTGCAGCAATATGGAGTAAATCAAAGGTGCTGGAATCCACAAATGGATTTTGTGCCGTGGGCAGAAGGAACCTCTGAGCAGGTCATGCTTGAGGTAAATCACCTTTTTCACAAGGGTCTGTGAGCACAGCTGCACACTGCTTGGAATGGAGGGTGGACGTGGGGCACTGAATGTGGACACTTCCATCTAGAAATGTGCTATAAAAGTAACTGAGTTGTGGTGATGTTTCCCTGCTTTGAGGTTGTCTTCAGCCTGTTTCATCTTAAAGGACACCCCAAAAATGAGAACTCATTCACCAGAGTGTTCTATTTTTAAGGTAAGCACTGCTGAGAGGATTCATGTTCAGTTCTGCAGTAATAAAGCCCTTCGGAAGTCAGAGGAATTTCCCACAGTCGGCTGTGGGAATGTACCAGGCTTTGGACTATTTTGTGCTCAGAGCAGAACAAGGGGAGTATTTCTGCAGAAGTTTAATTAAAGTAAATGTTGGGCATTTTGTGCCTCCAAATAACCCAGGTTTGATGTGTGCCTCTCCAAAACCCCAAACCACGCCAGCTGCCTTTGAGGCCAGGTGGAGCTTTCAGTCATTGACCCAGGTTGATTGAATATTTTATGACATTTAATCAGATAACTTTGCTCCTGGCTATTTACACTGGAGTAGCTCTTGCTTTTTTTTAATTTGAGTGGGATTTGGTTTGTAATCTCTTTTCTAGGACTCTGGTCATCAGAAATAATTGTGCTGAACTCCCAGAAATTAGGCAACAATTTTGTTTGGGGAAATTCAGGGGTTTTTTTCCTTAATAATGTTGAGGCTGTGAAAAGGTCATAACTTTTCTCCAGGGCAAGAGCCAGAGGGGGGTTAAATGTGACTGGGGCCAGATCCAGCAACCCCCCTGGGTTCAGGCTGGCTTCTTGCTGGGATGTGGGCAGGGAGGCCTTGTTTTCCCAAAGCCTGTTAAGTAAAGCAGTGTATTCAGCGCTGTTCAGCTCCAGCCCAGCTCTCTGGAAATCCTGTGTACATTGGCTTGTCCTCCTTTATTTTCTCAGTCAATTAAGAGCTGACTTCGCGGGCTGACAGCCGCGGCGCGGGGAGGGGCAGCGCTGTCTGCGCTCAGCGAGGCGCGGCTGCTGCGGGGCTCGGCTCAGACCCTGCCTTCCCTCGGGCCTTGGCTCACCCCGGGAGCTGCGGGGCAGAAATGCCTTTCTCTACCCTTGGTGGCAGGTTTGCTGCCTGCTTGGCTCTCCCCTGCCCTCCCCCAGATGCTGCCCTGGCCCCGGGGCTCCCCAGCTCTGGGTGTGACAGTGACAGGGCTGATGTGTTCCTGACCCTCCTGGGGCCATCACTGGCCACCTCCACTGGCCCTGGCTCGGGTGAGATTCCCAGCCTGGCTCTGGAGCAGGAATGGGTCTTTCATCCTCCTCCCCCTGTGTGCTGGGCTCCCCCCTGCAGCTCACCAAACACACCTTACACTATCATCTCACCTTTTACAACCACCTCGTATTGTTCCAAAATAAGGCCTGGGGATCATGGATAAACCAAATGCTTCATGGATTTGCAAGCATACAGTGCTGCTACTCTTGGGACAAGAGTGTTAGTGTCAGGAGAACAGCAGTGGAGTGAAGCATCTCACTGAAAATCCCTGGAGCTGCAGGTGATCATCACAAGTGTCCCACCGTGTTCTCTGTCCTTTCCCACTGCTCCAGTACCTGCTGTGTTGTTGTCAGAAGCTGCCTTCCAAAATGTGGCATTTTCCTGCTCAAGGCTTTACAGCTCCCCCCACCAGCACCTTCAGCCTACAGGTGCATCAAGAGGGACACCAGCCCACCACACTCCTTGGAAAACAGGCTTGGAAAGACAAGGTGTGAGGCAGCAGAGGTGCTGGGCAGCGTTTATTGGGCCAGGACCCTGTGCAGCTCCTGGGGAATGTGGTTGCTGCTGCCCCGAATGCCAGAGGGGGAAAGAAGCCTCCTCCTACAAGCCTTCTACAATAAACAGATAAAACAGCATGTTTTGGACTGCTTGTGGGAGAGCTGCTGGCCTGGGATGGCTGTAAAGCTGGAAGGGCTGGGTACTGACAGGCCCCCCGGCTGCAGGACGCTCTGCCAGCACTCCTCACCCCTGCTCTCTGAGCTGCTTTCTTTTCTTCCTCAATAAAACAAGGCTTGTGCAATGTGTGTCTGTATTTTCTGCTGCTTTCAAGCCTAGTCGATGATTTTTGGAGGTGGCTGAGCTCCCGGATGCCCTTGGGCACTGGGAGTGTGGGATGCCAGTGGAGCTTGTGGGATCTCTGCATGAGAGCTCTGCAGGGCTGGAGCTTGGAAACAACAAACCCTGACCCCGCAGAGGGGATCGCTGCTCACAGCTAGGGAAAAACCTTTATTTTAAAGCAGGGTCCTCCTGCACAGCCCTTCTACCACCTGTTCTGCCCAGCCCTCACCATGCCTGAGCCCTCCCTAGCGGCTAGGTTGGGTGCTCAGGGAGGTGCTGGAGCAGCTCAGGGGTCACTGCTGTGACCCATCCGAAACTCCCCAAGGCTGGTGAGAGGCATTTCCCTGGCTCTCATCTCTCTCTGCTGCACTTGAGCACAATGCTGCGTGGCTGTGGCCCCCAGCACTCCCCGAGGCTGTGCCAGGGACATGGGGAGGGAAGCAGGGTGCCAAGGCACGCAGCAGGTGCCGGGGGCTGAGCGGGCGCACGGCCAGCCTGGGCTCAGGGCCGGGCCAGGCGCACGGGGTAGGTGACCATGTTGAAGCTGTCCCAGGCGAAGAGCTGCCGCTCGGCAGGGTTGTAGTCCAGCATGCTGAGGTAGCGGAAGCGGTTCTCGAAGGGGATGCTCAGGGCCCGGCTGGAGCCCGTGGCAGTGTCGTAGGCAAAGTTGATGGTGGCGTTGGGCGCCGAGTAGCTGCTGACGGTGTAGAGGGTGCCGCAGATGAGGAAGGAATTGGCCACCCCCCGCTTGCGGATGTTGGTCTCCCAGGTCCGACGGATCTCCAGCGTCTCGGGGTCCAGCTTGGAGAGGACGATGGCTCCCCGGGCCTTCTCAGTGCTGTAGATGACCCAGAGCCCCGTCTCATCCACCGCCAGGTCGATGTCGGTGTAGCCCCCCCAGGAGTAGGGGTACTGCCCGTGGTAGCCGGCGCCGGGGATCTCCCTCTCGGCCGTGATGGTCTCTCCCCGCAGGTCGTAGCGGGCCACGGAGCGCGACTGGCGGGGCTGGAAGAAGAGCCCGCCGCGGTAGATGACGGCGCCCGTGCTCTCCAGGGGCCGCGGCAGGATGTGCACCTTGGCGGGGTAGCCCCGGGCCAGCTGCTCGGCCTCCTCGTACTGGAAGAGCTGGCGCACCTCGGTGCCCACGGTGTCCACACGCCAGGTGTTGTCCCGGGTGAAGGGCGGCACGGGCTCGGGGTCCTTCATCCACACGCCGTACTTGCCCGCGATGGAGTCCGCCCGGCCGAACACCACGGGCTCTCCCACCCACGCCAGCTGCCCGCAGCCTGCTGGGGACAGCACGGGACACAGGCGGTCACCGCCAGCCCCTGGTGAGCAGCGGGGCGCGGGGCCGGCCCGCCGTGCCCGTACCTGCGTCCTCCTTGCCCGGGCGGCCGAGCGCCGCCTCCTCCAGCAGCCGGGACACGGGAACCTCGGTCCTCTCCGACTGCAGCTCCTGGTAGCTCAGGGGCTGCGGCTCCCAGCGCGGCGCTGCAGCGGGGGCAGGCACGGCGTGAGCGGGGCTGAGCCAGCGCCCTCCCCGCCCGCCTGCTCCGGCCGCCCTCGGGGGCTCCGGGCCGGGCTGCTGCCCCCGAAATGCCCAAGCCTTGGGCAGGAGCCCGCTGCCCCTCGCTCTGCAGCAGGGCACATCTGTGACCGTGCTCTCTGCGGGAACTCCTACGAGCTCAGGTGAGCACGGTGCCCTACATGGCCCCTCAGCTGCGGGGCAGGAAGGCAGGTATGGGGCAACGGGAGAAGGCTGAGCCCAGCAGGCTCCCCAGGAGCGGGGCAGCAGCGGTGCACAGCACGGGGGCCGCACAGCGCTCCCGGCCCCGGCACTTACCCTTGGCGGGGGCGCGCAGCGTGTCCCGGCCGGGCCCCTCTCTGCCGGGGGGGCAGCGGGCGGCCCGCAGCCGGGCGAGCTCCTGGGCGCTGCTCTCCAGCCGCCTGCCCAGCTCCTCTTTCTCCTGCTCCAGCCGCCCCTTCTCCTCCTCCAGCCGGGACTTGGCCCGCAGCAGCTCGCCGTACGCAGCCTCCACTTGCTGGGGGTCCCGTGCGCCGCCCGCCTCGGCTCCCCGCGGCCCCGAGCCCGCCGCTGCTCGCTCCCGGCTCTCCAGCCGACTCAGGCGGGCGGCGAGGGCGACCAGCTCGGCGCGCAGCTCGGGCACGCCGCCGGCAGCCTCGGGGCAGGCGGCCTCCACGGGGCTGGCGACCGTGAAGGAGTAGGTGCAGCGCCCGGAGCTGTCATGGGCGCGGCGCAGGAAGGCGGTGTCCGCCCGGCCGCCCAGGGCCGCGGAGCCCCAGAGCAGCAGCCAGACCCCCAGCATGGCCCCGGCGCCGCCCCTCTGAGCGCGCCGGCCACCGCCGCCCGCATTTATAGAGCACGAGGGTCGGGGCGGCGGGGGCGGGCGAGCCGAACCTTCCAGATGCCTGCGGGCACCGGCACTGCCCCGCCGCCTCAGGGGCCGCGGGCCGGGGCCGTGTGCCAGGGGCGGGCGGGCCCGGGGCCGAGCCCCACGGGGGCCGCTCGGGGCCGGGGCCTGAAGCGAACCCGCCGGTCCCGCCCCGCCTCGGGGTGGCCCCGCCCGCTTTGCCGGTCGTGTCTCCGCCCGCCATCGGTGTCTCGGCGCTCGGCGCGGCGGGCGGGGCGGTCGATGTGAGCGGGCTCTCCGGCACCGGCCATTTCCCGCCGGCCCGGCCCGGCCCGGCCCGCTGAGCGCGGGGGCGGCGGGTCCCGTCCTGGGCCTGCCCCGCGCTTCCCGCTCTCCCCTCCAGGCTTCTCCCCCGGGCACAGAGCCGCGGCACGGACCGGCCATGCCTCCCAAATTCAAGCGGCACCTGAACGACGACGAGGTGACGGGCTCGGTGAAGAGCGAGCGGGTGAGTGCCTCTCTGTGCTGCAGCTCGGCGGGCTCGGTGCCCACGGCGGGGCCCTGGCCGGCTCTGTGCCGCAGCCCTCAGCCGCGGGGCCCAGGCCTCACGCGGGCCGTGAGGGCTGTCCGAGCGCCAGCCGCTCCGTGTGGGGCACAGCAGCCCCGGTACGGCTCTTTGGGGAACCTGTTGCGGCTCCTTCATGCCGCATCCACGGCCAGGGGATGCCGGGGTGCTCCAGCCTCCTGCCCTTCCGCAGAGCCTGGCAGGGACACGGCCTGGCTCTGCTGCCCACGTTGGCTGAAGGAGCTGAGTGAAGTCACCCTGTCCATTACAGCTGATTTGTTCTCCTGTCACCATGGTCCCTTCACTTCCAGGCTTTGAGTACAGGTCCCAGCGATTGCCTGGTTTGGATGAAGTGGATTTAACCTGCTGGGGTCAAGCTTGCTTTAGGCTGTGGTCGGAAGCGCTGCTGCAGCTCCCGACAGCTGCCAGCGAGACCGGGCGCCTGAGCTGCCCCGAGCAGGCTGCTCCTCCCTTGAGGGAAGCAGTGGCTGGAACTATTGCACGGTGTTGTAGGTTTGCTTGAGTTGACTGAGCAAGTGTGACAGGATGGAAATGTAGGTGAGCTGCACCATCAGAGCATCAGGCCAGGTGGGAGCCCAGATCCACACATGGGAAAGCAGCAACTGTTGGTACCCCAAGGACCATCTGCTGGGTCCCTGGGCCCACAGCTTTAGTGTGTCACCTCCCCCTCCTGATTGTTTTTGACCCTAAGCAGAAATGGTTGTCTCTGGAACATTCAGGCTTCTGTGGGATTGTGGGGTTCCCCTTAAAAATCAGGTTTTGGATCCTCTCCTGGAGTGTAGTGGATCAGCAAAGGGGAGTCCCGGGGAGCCCTTTGGGGTGAAACAGAGGAGCTGCCAGACTGCTCTGCCCTCTAGCCCAAGGTTCCCTTGTGGTCATCCCTTTTACAATCGGTGCCATCAGATGGTGGAGAAACCTCATCCTCCAAATCGAGTGGATCTGATTTCCCGTGTGGATGGAACAGCCCGGGGTGTCTGTGGGTGATCTGATGCTTTTGGGTGCAGAGCTGGGGATTGTCCCTTGAGCAGAGAGGATCTTCCTGCAGTCAGAGGATGCTGATCCCATCCTAAGAGCTGGAAATGTGGGTGTGAAATGGTGGTTGCTTATTAATGAAATGTTTTTTCTGTGTTTGCAGAGGAACCTGCTGGAGGAAGACTCAGATGAAGAGGAAGACTTTTTCTTGTGAGTTGGAATGCAGTGTCATACCTGCCTGCAGCTCTGAGACTGGGGGCTTGGGAATGAAAACCTTTGATTCCTTTGGGATGTGCTTCCAGAGCCTTGGCCTTGAGCATGAATTAATAGGTGTGACCTTTTGTAAGAGTGAGGTGTCCCATGGATCCTAAGACGTGGGAGGGACTGATGGGAGGTATGGAAACAATTCTCTGTGCACAATGTTTTGGTTCTCTCCTCAGATCTTTTGGGTCTGGTTTAAAAACATGTTTTCATTGTGCCTCCTGTCCTGATTGCTCTTTTCTGCCTGCAGGAGGAAGCCGTTTGGACCCAGGAATGACAAGATCAGGCAGTAAGTTGTTGTTGCTTAGTGTCACAGAGATAATGATTTATTCTGTCACTGGGAGCTCCTGCTGCTGTCTTGTCAGAGTATTTCTGTGTAGCTCATATGAACATTCCTTGTGCCTGTGTTCTTCTAACTGACCTGTCCTACCCCATGTGTCCACAGCTAAAGGAAATCTTAGCTTTGATGCAGCCTGTAAAGAAATTGTGTGCTCAGAGAGGTAAAGGGATAACATTACATCACAGTAGCTTATTGGAGTTTCTGAAGCCCTGCCTGTGTTCTGGTGGTGACCTGTTCCATGATTTTGTGAGGCTCTTTATCTACAGCATTAACCCTGAATTTTAACCTTTTCTAGCATCATTTTTTGATTTTTGAGGCTTTTGTTACCTCATCCTGTAACATGCTCCTTAATGTTTCAAGAAAGTAAGTGGTCAGGAACACACCAGACCGTGGGGTTTGGGCAGCAGCTGGTGCTCTGGCATCCTCTTCTCCAGCTAAAAACCTGATATAGGTGACCTGGAGATGAGCAGTGACTCACTGGGGTCAAAGCTGCTGGAAAACAGGAAACCATTACAGCTAGAGGAGGAGTGGGGCAAGAAGGAAGGAGTGATCACTCTGGATCCTCCTCCCATCGAGTCATTTCCTGGATGAAGCTCAGTCAGGGCTCCAGTTTTTCCTGTGAAGGATATTATGGTGGTACTTAATCACAAGTGTGGGCTTACTCACAGATCTCTGGTCTGTGTTCCTTTGCTGATGTGTGTGGAGCCAGGACAGAGATCTGTGTGGGGACTGCTGCCTGGGCATTGTTCAGGCTGTTCATTGTTTGCAGCCTGTGTGTGGCTCTTGGTTACGGATTTTTTCCATGCCAGGAAGAAGCCAGCACAGCTCTGGGGTGACTCACTGCCACCATCAGCATTAGGCTGTGCTTGTTATCTTGAGGGTGAAGGACACTTGAGCTGCACAAGAGGCAGAGCACAGGTGGCTGCACCCTGAGTTTTTAGGGCATCTCTGTTCCCCCCAGAGTGTGAGGATGCTGCTGGTAGGGAGGAACTGCTCTTTGGAGTAAGCCAGTGTGGATGGAGCTTCCCTTCTGGGGCATGATCTGGAGGGAGTGAGAAGGCTGAGAACTGGGTGTTTGAGGGGGTCTCACCTCCACAGAAAGGTAGAGATGGGGTAGTGTCCATCCTTCAGCCTCCTCTGCTGGACAGCACCTGCAGTGTCTGCTGTGCTCCCTGTTGGGAGAACACAGGAGCTCTTCTCTTGCCTGTCTCAGCCTGGCAGAAAGGAGCAGTGCCTTAGGTAGAGGAGGACAGGGCACCTGTGAAAAGGAAGAAAAGTGAAAGGAGCGTTTAGCCAGGAGCTGGTGGATCCAGAGGTGTGATGTGACTAATGGCCCACACAGGAGGCTTGTCCATTGCCAGGGATTGCCTGGATACAGTGGATGTGGCACGGAATATGTCCCTTGGGCTATCAAGGGGTACACCTATGGAGCATCTAGAGCATCTGTTACTAACCAGAATTTATTTTCTGCTCTCATCAGCATTGATTGCTTTGTTTAATAAGCACTTACACCATGCAGCCATCACTTCTTGTCATGGAAATCACTGTGAAGTTTCTGATCAGTTCAGCCCTTGTGCTGTAGGGATCAATACCTCACAGTGACTCAGTTTTCTTTGTTTCAACAAAGAAAGGGTTGGGTTGCTGCTGAAAAACTGTAAGGAAAAGACATTTTAAGGAGGAATTGGAGCATTTGGAGAGCTGAGGCATAGCTGGGCAAAGCTGGAGAGGCTATGGAAGTGTGGGGCTGGAGGAACGAGGTGTGAAGATGGGCGTAGAAGGAAACTGGGTGGAGGATTGGGCAGAGGAAAAAGTAAAGGGATTATGGGAGCAAAGGTGTGGAACATGTTAAATGTGAGGGGCAAGACTGGAAAGTTTTCCTCGTTGTCCTTGGCAGGAAAGGGGGATGGATTGGGTCAGGGTGGAGTTTGGCAGCAGAGACCCTCAGGGCTGGCTCAGCTGTGGGGAACGCTGCTAACCTTGTAGGGGAAGGAGGTGAGTGACAGTCAGCAACAGTGACAGGAGGAAGTGTCAGTCCCCTTCAAGCTGAGCTTTGTCCTCATGTGTCTGGAGGCTGCTTGGTTGGGGTGGACTCTCCTCTGGTAGTTGAGAGGCCACGTGGGGTCCCTTTGTCTCCCTTTGAGGCCTCCCATGCCCAGGGTGGGCTGGAGCTGAAGCACAGCTTTTGAAGGGCTTTTATCCTTTTCCCCAAAGGCACAAAGAACAGGTAAGGGAGAGTTGTTCTCCTTTCTCTGCCTTTGCTTTGAGGCTTTGGAAGAAGTGCTGAATGTGTGCATGAGAGTCTTTTCAAGGGAAGCTGGGATGTTCATCTTCCAGCTGGATTTCTTTATTTTGGAAAAGGAGCTTCTCATCACAGACCATCTTTTCAAAATTTCTGCTAAAATCAGCCCCTTTTCTGCACTGTTTGACTCACTTTACTGCTGATGTTTGTGCTTTCAGGGAACTGTGCCATTGGGTTCTTGTTCGTGCTGCTGCTGAGGCTCAGCACAGTGCTGGGTTCCCCAAGAGCCTCTTGGTCTCTGTGAATCCCCCATGGTGCAGCTCTGGGGGATCAGCATTGCCAGCCCCAGTGGCTCTGGCTGGCTGCAGGCCCTGAGCAGGGGGAAGGTTTGGGGAATGGTTTGAACTCCTGAGGCAGGAGCTGACTGCAGCTTCCCAGGGCTCATTGCAGGTTGTGCAGTGAACCCCAGCCACAGTCCAGGCTTTCATCTGAAGGTGATACCAAGACCAGGTTGTCAGGTATCATTGTTGGATATAATCCTTTCAGTGACTGAAAGGCCTCAGGGAGGCCACAGTCCAGGCTTTCATCTGAAGGTGATACCAAGACCAGGTTGACAGGTATCATTGTTGGATGTAATTCCTTTCAGTGACTGAAAGGCCTCAGGGAAGCATAGACTGCTGCTTTCCTCCCAGCTGGGACTAAGCAGCACCTTCAATCCACGG